TCATCATCATCATCGTCAGCTACAGCATTATCATCATGACCACCATCGCCATCACCATCATCATCACCGCATTCATCCTCATCAACATCAAACTCATCGTCATCTTTATCATCCTTCTCCTCATCACCATCATCATCCCCATCATCCCCATCGACCCCATCATCCCCATCATCCGCATCAGCCCCATCATCCCCATCACTTCCACCATCCCAATCACCCCCATAATCCTCACCATCTTCATCACGGCTGTCCCGAACCCGAAGATACGCGGTGACACACGTGACGGCCGCCCGAGCCCCCTCGAACTGTCGCCACCCAGAGTGGTGGACAGGCACGGTGGCGGACTTGCCGCAGGCAGCTGCATCAGTTCTTCAAGGGGAAAGGGGAGGACGAGCTGGAAAGCCAACCAGCCACAACTCTGGGATCTGCGATCCCCATCCCCCTTGGAGAATACCACCAGCCCTCTGGGCGGAGGTGGATTTACGAGCTCTGTCGTCCCTCTTCTAGATCACGGCTCCTTACGAATATACGCCCCTTGCCCCACCCGACGGCCGATACACGCAGGACAATAAGCCCCACTAGCCCCACACCCATCCTTGCCCCAAACGAAGCAAAGCTCACACTGTAGCAAACTCCGGATCGTGCAAGGACGCCTCGTGAGCACTTTACATAATTTGTGACAGGGACGGCGGGGGCGCCTTCACATATCCCGCCCTGTGCAGGCCTACCATCCCTGCCAACACGCACTGCAACACCTACGCTTGGTGGCAACATCTTGACCGTACGCGGGGCCTCCTGAGTCTGATGAGGGTCTTTCGCGAAGTGGCAGACAGCCCCCTTGGCCCAATATAGCTACAAGGTGGCTCCAATTAGCTCATGCACGCCTTCAAGATTGCTCAAGGTATCCGAAGATGGTTTACGATAGGCTCCAGCTGAAGGTTTCGAGAGAGCCCCGAGAGGACCCCAAACATCGAGGTCTCGCTCATGGGTTCCGGGTAGATGGGGACGGAAAATCGCAACGAATCTCCGACGCGTCGGCGACGTCAGCGATACATCGGCGACGTCGGCGTGAAGAAAATCGGAGTCCACATCGAGCCGCATGGCCTCGGCTCTGCGGCGCCATCTGGGAGGCCTAGTAAGAGGGCCCCGAAAGTCCTTGTCCTCGTCGTAGTCGTCCTCCTCCTCCTCGCCGTCCTCCTCGCCCTCCTCCTCCTCCTTCTCCTCCTCCTCCGCGTCCTCCTCGTTCTCGTCCTCGTCCGCCTCATCATGCAGGTGTTCCTTGATGGTCATTCCTCCTTGATCGATAGACTTCAAGATGGCCATAAAAGGCTGAGCCCAAAAGAGAGCTCCAGAGGCCTCCCAAATGTGTGTTCACCATTGTTGGCCCCATCGCTTCATCATGTGCTCACCTGCGCTCCTCCTTTAGGCAACTCCCATGGTCATTGTTTCTGGCTGGGCTGGCGGTGGCACTTTTTGGTTCGCAAGCGCGCGGAACGGGTCGGGCGCCAGGCAGGCAAGGGGGCAGGTTGTGCCACCTGTGAAAATGCACAACAGAGCAACGAGCGAGGCCGGGTGCGGAGCGTACCCCGCGCGGCCAAACTGGCGCGAAGCGGCCAGGAACACTATGTAGTAAGATGCCGAGCAGGAAGCCGGCCAGTGAACCTAGCGAAGAGGCAGTGGAGCCCACGCTGCAGGATGGCGGTGACGAACCCCATGTGCCCCACGTAGCCTTCCCGAACTCGCGAACATTGACGGCGGCGGAACATGAACCAACCGCCCCTCGTACCCAGGAAAATGGAGACGCAGGCGGCGATCCGGGGCCCCGCAAACTGGCCGAACAGGTCGGATTTGACAGGAAACCCGAGCGAAACCTAGAGGAAAGCGACCTCGAGGCTCCTTTGCGATGTCCAATTCCGCGTAAAGGCGGACCAGAAATAATGCCGCCAGAGAGCGCCCGACTGGGCGATGTAGACGGGCACGAGGGCATAAACGCCACAGGCGCGACCCCTTCGCGTAAATGTAGACGACCAGCAATGCCCCAGGAAACGTAAGGTAACGGCCCAGCAAGGCGACAGGCAGTCAGGGCGCCCCACGCGCCAAGACTCGGAGGCAGTGGAATGACAGGAACGACCAAGCCGCGCAAGAGTACAGAACGCCACCACTGCGGGCACCCCAAGCGCGGAGCGGCGGGCGGCCAGCAACGCGGCCGACGGGCCGCAAAAACTTCGCCAAAGAGACCATGAACGCCTTGAGCGCGAGGGTACCCTGGCAAGATCAGGAGCAAGTCCTTTTCGAACCCCGCCGCCGTGAACCCTTGCGGCCGTCCCGAAGCAATGGGACTTTGATGAACGCGAGCACTACAGAGCACTATATCCTCCTATCGTTTTCTATACAATCGTATCAACATGTAGCATTGAATTGTGAAAAAAAAATGAAAATAATGAAGACAATTGAAAAAAACAAGCTAGTAAAAAATACGGAAAAAATGATGATAATGAAA